GAGGCATTCTATTTTTTTTACCAATCATAACGTTCATTTGTGAGTCATAATTCTTCGATTATCAATTATGACCCATAGAATGTGGCGACATCATTCTATCGAATATAGTCAGAGTCTCCCCGTTGAATATAGTCATTAGTCTATTTCTCAACAAGGCAGGAGTGTGCGGAGCGTTGAGTTGGTTAATTAGATTCAAGATGTAATATGGATAAACCATCATTCGGGAATGGTTGATCGAGTTTCCTTATCTTCCGCACAGTTTTAAGTGGAGCCACTACTGTTTTCTCCGCTTCAAGAACATCCTGCTAGATAGCAATGCGGCGTAGTGAATGTGTGATATGGAAAACGCTAGTGAAAAATATATCTCACAACTACCGCATAGCGTGATGTCACGTTGTTCACAGAGTATTACTTCACTTCATGTAAAACGAGTGAATCTCAAGTGTGTGCCAATTTGATATGCAAATATGAAGAGTATGTGTTTTCCTATTCCGGGATTAGAGATAGTGAGCATCTTGTCGCTATCACAGTCTCGAAAGGTTAAGTTTATCACATCACATCTTCATAGCAATGTTTATAGTGTTTATGCGATATAGTCTCAGATCGATTCTTATTAACAACAGAAAATAACACACATTTGCGTATTGACTTGACTCGCCCCTTAGTTACAATAGAAAGACGTGTTCTCTCTTTACTCCTTAGAGAAATACGGATAAGCTATCATTTAATTCACTTCTCCATCCGCTAATTCCTGCATGTGTAACGAGATCGTTGCTTTCATTTCAGCTGTTCTCGACGGCAATTGCCGGCAATTGCAGAGAGCTGACTCCATCCTGCCATCGGCCCCACTACCAATCTCTCCACTTTTTTCCGAGGTTCGAGTCACAACCATCCGAGACTCCCGGACCGGGAGGTACACGGCAGACTCCAACGGAAGGGCAGGGTGGCTGACATATTTTTATAGGGAAAGATTTCAAGAATGTTTTAATGAAATATTTCAAATATTTCACCGAAGAAAATCTCAGTGAAATATTTCACTTTTCATTTTTCGCTTTTTTGAGAGATGTACGTCAGAACCTAGTGCTTGAGGACTCTCATCATAGATCACGGATGTAGTTGGCTCTATCAACAGCAATACTGTCTCCTTAGAAGGGGACAAGTGAACGGGAAATGGATAAAATGGGAAAACTCCCGGCTGAAGTAAAAAATACTCCAGTCGTACCACCGGTGTTGATCTTCCTATCCGATAGGACCTATTGCGTGCTCCTGCAGACTGATTGTACTACTAGGGCGTATTTCCTGGCGGTGATATAGTCAACCCACCCGCAGGTATCGATCTTATGAAGAACAAAACTGACGAGTTTGAAGGTTTGATAATCAAACCCTCAAACTCATCAGTTAAAGTAACTGAGTTACTATTTGACTGAGTGGCTCCTTCCAGATCAATTTCACGCGTCTTGTACCACAGGACGAACGACCCTAGTATGATATTACCGTACTAATCGTACCCTATTAACAGTATCTAATAGTATCCAAGTGCCCCTGGTTTGTCTCGTGTGTCCGTAGTCTTTCTGATGTGTCTGAACTCTCCAAGCAATGTTTCAGATATCTTAACTTCTGCGTTCACTTCTTGGACGACATGTTCTGCATTATTTAAAAGATTGAATTCAGTGACCAGCCAGCTAGCATGCTGAACACTGCATGTGCTTGAATTTACCACTGGTAATCTGAGTATTTTCAACACCTGTATGTGCTGAACTTCAGCACATACAGGTGTTGAAAATACTCAGCAGCTGAAGATGACCACTACTACTGTAGATCTCTTCAACACATGCATGTGTTGAAAACGACCACTGCTATTGTGGATATTTTTAACAACTGTGTTGAAAATAACTAGTAGTGGTCATTCCCACGGTGGGAATCCCACCACCTGAACGTGTTGAAAATGAAAGTATTTAAATAACTCCACGCTTTTCAAAGTGTTACAAACTACCACTTTGTGGAAATAATAACTACACGTGCTGAAATTACTCATGTGTTGAAATTGAAAGTGTTGGAAAAATTGTTCACCCATCAGAGTTCCTGATTGCCGGTTTTCAAAACCGGGTTTTGGAACTGCGGGTCGATAGTGAAAGTTAATAACGACTAAGAAAGGTAGTTCACGACTCATGAACTACTTTTGAAAAGTAACTTTTCTCCTGAGTCACGAGCAAAGAATATGCCTTGTCCTACAAAGTTTGTCATCATACGGAGAGTCTCCGTATGATGACGGCATATGTCCGTATGTCCGTCGGAGACTAAGGCGACAACCGATGAACTTAACTGTATCCTAATTCTGGCCTAGGATACACTTAAGGCCTAGTAGGCAATCTCTGGTGGCGTATTGTATTATAGCTCAATAGCATAACCTTTCAGATGGTGGGTTCGCTGGTAGTGACCGGAAGAAAGCGTTGCGTTCCAGTCCGCGAAACTTTTCCCTCATGCGCACCGCGCACTGCGCGGAACTTGACTCACTATTCGTAACATACCTCGAATTGAACTACTTAGATTAGAACCTTGTATACCGGAATTACCTCAGCAAGATATGCATGAGAACTCCGTAACGCAAATATTCAACCATCAAATCGAAATGTGTGTTCTACATTGATATTCGAACTCGACCATTCCGAAAGGAGCGAGAGTGAAGGTCTCCCAAGAGAGCAAGTTCACGGATAGCCGAAAGACAGATGACGGAATTTCAAGAGAAAAGCAAGACGTCAAGTCGTTGCTAAAGCAGTGATCCAGTCTGATCACCTTCGGACCACACACCCAAGAACAGAGAAAGTTCCCCCAGAGTGCTTGAGAATTCCTGTTGGAAACCCTCAAGCACTCTTAGTTAGGCATCAGACGAGCTATCTTGGGTGTGACGGTGTTTATATTTTTTTCCTCTTTCTTTCTTCCTTTCAGTCTTCTTGGTTCTTTCCTTTCATCCCTTTGCTTCTTTCTTCAGGTTCATCGAATATCGTGTATGAAGTTGCAGGTTTAAGACTAATTTTTCCATCATTGTGCGGTTTCACTTAATATGTTGTGTTTTAAGCACTGACTGGGACTTGGTAGGGAACCAACGTGGCCCAGTCACGTGCCGCCCTGAAGTGGCAGGTCAAATATAGGCTGGGATCGCTATCCCTACAGCACTGACCTATGGCGTAGGGTCCGAACCATTGGGACGTCAACGAATTGTTGATAACAATATCACATGGTCGACACCATGATTGAGTCACTCCCTCAGTGGCCGGATGGTGGGGTAAAGAACGACAAGCGGAAGCTGTCGTGACTCTCGAGGTGGTCTCGAGTAGTAGCCCTGCCGGGATCATCCCGGCGGGATGTTAGTCTCATCATGAGACCTGGGTTCTGTGCGTCTCTGTCTCGGGGTTAGACCAAGCTGATACCCAGAGTTGATCGGGCTAGAGTGGCTCTACGAGTTTAGGACGGCCGCCTCGCGTGGCTGACCACTCGTCGACTTGCCTCCGTGTCCGCTCAATCTCTCGTTGCCCTAGAGACAGTGACTGCGACACCGTGTCCTCCACCGAGGCTCGGTGCCCGAGCTGAGGACCTTAGCTTAGCGTGCCAGGCTAGGCAGAAACTCCGCCACAGAATTCGGCTAGACGAGTATTGGGTCATGCTACGATTTACGTGAGCTGGTTGCAGATTGTTTTTATATTTCTACCACGTCCAGCACGCCCGACCCCTTCCGCGAAGTTCTCCCCGACTTGGCTGAGAAAGCGTCGAAT